GGATATATAAATCTGCACATCGGGGGCACCTAGGGGGCAAAGAGATTTTCCTGCACATTTGGGGCAATCCCCAGATGTGCAGAAAAATCTGAAAAGTTGAAAAAAGTATACGGGGGATATTTAAATCCCCTCAAAAGTAAAAGAGCCTTCTCTGCGCATGTGCAGAGAAAGCACTTACCAATAGGAACTGTGGCTGATGGCGGCGGCGATCGCGGCGCGGGAAGAGAAGCCTTGGCAGCCAGCGGCTAGGAGCCGTGCAGGGCTTGCCGCCATTGCTGTTGGCGGAGGAGGAGGTGGCAGCGGGGGGTGGGGAGAAGAGCCGCACAGGGCTCGCCGCCTTTGCTGCTCGCAGCCATGGTGGCTGGGGGAAACCTGAGAAACCTTGGAGGGGCAGTGGCTAGACTCAGCTGCAGCCATTGCCGTTGTCGTCGGGTGGGGGGGAATCCAGGCAAGCCCAACGGACCGCCTGCTGGGCTCACCTGCAGTCGCTGCCATGTCCTCCTCTGTGCGGCGCTCCTGCTGCTTCAGCAGGCGAGCCACCCGGGAGCTGCAAGGAATACTCCACCCCGCGAGTATCGCGGGTCCCACTTCTTGTTTTTCATAATTCCATTATCGCTTTCAAAAGCTCAATTTAATTGAATATTGGAGCTAATACAGAAGGCAACTGCTTAAGAAATTATTTCCTTATTACACAGCTCCCATTCCACATGGTTTTTGTCTATGCAGGTTGCATAATCCCAAACATAACCCTTTTGGTGGTCAAAGGGGAACCCTTCCTCCCTTTTTCAGCAGTAAAAAAATCTGGTTGGATCCTTCATACTTGCACTGAAAATTGTTGAGACACACTACAATAAAACCATGGCTGAAAACACTAGGTGCCACAATGGAACTTCTAGGCACCATGGCAACCTGGCACCTGGGATTTGTTGTGGCCCTGCCTAATCAGCAACAAAAAGTAAGTGATTGCAGTGCCACCGGTGGAACATGACTGAGATCAGGTTGCAACTCACTTATCAGTTGAAGAACAATGTTTTAAGGAAAGTCGGGCAGCATGTGCGTGCACATATATAAATGTGGCTCTCTAGATGAGAGTACATCTAATAAATGGGCTCTCTCATTCACATACAGTGTGGCAAGACTGCAACACTTCAGATAAGAGAAATTTTATGGATTGAAATACTCCAAAACAGTTGGTTATTTTTGTATGTTTAGTTGACTTTTCTTCTTCTTTATTCATACTTTCCTCAACCTTCTTTGGAGAGAGGGGTCTGGATAAGCAACAATTAGGAGACATAGATAAGGTGCTGTAAGCTCCTCAAATAGGATAGATATTTAATAAAAAATGTACAAATCATCTTATCTGAGGAAAGGGTGTTGACACCCCCACTCCTTGGAACCCCCCTTCAGACTCTCAAACTGTATGATCAAGATATTGATCAGATACACAAGAATGAAGTCCTTTAGCTAAATATTTTTGTTAATAGCCTGAAATGTTAGTAAAGATACCATGACCAAATTTGATTTCAGTAGCTAGACAAAAGCATCTTCTTCACATAAGCAGAATCTTGGGGTTCAAAACAGAGACGTTAGTGGGGGAAGGGGTCATTTTACTTCCCTCTTTTCAGTGTCATGAGAGACAGATCAGACCAGGCCAAACAAAACCAGCAGAGCAGATGAAAACAATTTCCGTCCTTTCATCAGAAAATTCTTTTGCCAGGCTCTCCCCATTCCAGGGGGTAGCCTGGAGCAGAAAGAACCGGACATTTCAGCTTTAAGTGGGCTTATCTTTATATGCTGCATACTTTCTTGAGCCAGCCTCCTTTGTATAGCATCATCTGAACATTTCAGTCATAGCATGCAGAAATATCTTCTCAGTCTGGTACTTGATTTTTGTAGCTAAATGGCAGCACAGATTCCTGCAGCCGAGTCAGTGGTGAAATGTAAAAGGTCAAGTTGAGGGTGAAGAATTCACAACTTGTCACAACATGAAATTTGGGAAGGGGAAATAGATTAGCATATGGAGCTCTGAGTTTGAACTCTGGTCTCAAGTCTCTAGCTAGCAGACTTTGGATAGCAGGGATGGGGAATGTGCGTGCCTCTGCTCAAGGACAACTGGATTTAAAGTGCTGAACAACACAGACCTTCAAACCTGGGGTAGACAGAGTAGAGGAGACCTTTACCCAAGAGCCACTGACAGACAGAGCTGACATTGCTAGGTTATAGGGACCACTGGGTTGATTCACCTTTGATTACTGATGTTGCCAAAATGTGTAACTTCCCAGTTCAGTATTCAAATTTGTCCAGCCAATCATACTGGGACACATTATGAATTTAGCAATGGACTTAGAAGGGGAATTTTTTTTGCACTGGAAATACCCAAAAGTTAGCTGCGACTTGCATGTGCAAAAGTTCTTTAAAATTAACCACTTGTTCTTGGCAAAACTCTCTTTAACTGCTGCAAACATGACCAGACCACTCAACCAAACAGCCTGTTGCTTTGGGAACAATTCCTTTCTTTGGGCTGGTCAATTTTCTTGCAAGCATTTTAATGTGGATGATGTTCCCATCTGCCTTTTGAGTGTGGACAAGGCTTTCTTTTGATCTTGCACCCATGTCTGTTATTCTGATCCTCTCTTGAAGAATCACCTTAGAACCTTCACAAAACTGAGCATTCTATTGCCTGGAAATCTAAGCATACTCAACAGGAAAGAATTACAAAAAGATCTTTAGAGGCACTCTTGCCAAGAGGCATTCTTGCCGGATGCTGTTCATGCCTGCCCTGTATATGAACTGTTTTTAGCACTAGAACTTTGTAATGTTTTATATTTATATTGTCATGATTTTATAGTTCTGTTTTAGCTGTGTAGAGTTTATATAAGCTGCCCTGAGCCTGCTACGGCGCGAAGGGTGGGGTAGAAATCCAATAAATAAGTAAACGAATAAGTAAATAAATAAATAAGTATCCAAGAAAGGTAACTGCACCCCAATCGAGAGGGCTGGAGCATTAGAAGAGTTACAAAATACAGCATTTGAAGTCTGAATCAGCAGGAAACTGCTATGCATCAATCCAGGGCAAACTGGAATGAACCTGAGGAGAGCGACAGTAGAGCCACCTCTGCTACACGGGATCATTTCCTAAGGGAGGCTAGAGGATTCAGGTTTTTGAAGAAGCATTATTATTGGCTGTGAAAGTTTTAAAAAAATAAAATCAAAATCAAACAGCAGTTCCTAAATATAGCCAGGAAGCCAAGGACAAAGGGCCAGCTGAACCAGCAAAGGCAAAGGTAAGCCACGTGGTTCTTTCACCCATAAACTGGGCCATTCCCAGGTTTCCTAGCAGCGTCCTTTGGCTTGCAGCCACATCCTGTTCAACAAGGCCAGCAGTTCTCAGATCCCAGGTGTAGTGTGATCTGGCACTTGTAAACTTTGCACAGGTACATGGAAATATTAGCTTTCAAGAACTACAACCAACTTAACACTAATTCACCCAACAAGTCGACTTCTGAGCAGTGACAGAATTCTGTCACTTGGGGTTGTATGCAGTGCTTACAACAAGACCCTTTGCTGCATGCTTCCCTGCGAGTAAGCAACACCAAGGAGGCCCCATGTCCACTCTGGTTGAACATCTGTAAGGTATGAAGCAACGTGCCAACTGAATGAAGACATATGTACAAACATTAGACAACTTTTTAGACAGTTTCTGTGTCATACTGGCACAACATCCTTCACTGAGATTTGCTTCCCCACACAGATGCCTGAGAAAATCTAGCTTGTGAATGAGTAACAACATATGGGTCTGGCTTGCCAACAAAACTGGCACCTCCAGAATTCCCAAGAATTGGGGGGGGGGTCAATAGTGTGAGGGCTCCTAGAGTCCTGGCTCCACTGCTGGACCTCCTGATATCACCTGGTATGTGACAGTGTTGGACTGGATGGGCCGTTGGCCTGATCCAACATTGGCTTCTCTCATGTTCTTAAGAAGGCTCATCCTTAGATTTTCAAGCAAGTCAAGCCTGCCAAGTTCACATACCCAGACAAAGATGTGCCATAAATGTAAAGACAGATCAAATGTATAGGAAGTGAAACCAGAGAGTCTACCATTAATGACAGTAGGGAAACAAAACCCAAAAAGAGGTTGTCCAACTGATCTCCCTTCCTCCTCCCCCCTACCATCAGCCAAAATAACTAACGGCACAGCTACTGTCACTTCACAGAAAAGGAGGGGCACTCCCTTCACTTGACACACAGAAAAACAGGGAAATGCAGCCATCTTTCTTAAGGAAGCACCTGTCCCTCCTTCAGTAACAAAATGTGGTTCAGTTTAGTCAGTGAAGAGGGGACAATAATTCAGTAATAATTACAGTGGTACTGAAACTGTTGAATGATGCATCATCAAATTCCCAGAAGCATGTTTTCTGCTGATAAAAAGTCACACATACCACACAGCTACGTCATACAGCCCAATAAATGTATTTTTGGAAATAGGGTTTATACCCCAGCTGAACCACTTACTTACTGTGGGAGCTTTGGGCATGTTACTCTCCCCTTACCTGATTTACCTGTCTGACACAAGAGACAGAATACAACCAGTTTCTCGGAGATGTTGTGACATCACAGAAATAAGTATACTATATACCGGAACTAATATTACTGTCGGTATTAACAATGCTACCACTGTAGACAAACACTTACCCCCCCAGCATCACTCCCAGCAAGGTTGCTTGAGCTGTTCACATTACTGGTCACAGGAGGAGATGGGCTTTGAGATTCTGAACCCCTTAGATCTCCACTGTTGTGCAGCAGGACACTCTCTGGATTCACATGGTCTCTGGGAAGCTTGGTGTCTTGCCTTGTAGACTGAGGCTCTGCCAAGTCCTTACTGTCCAAAGGCTGAGATGGAGCAGGGGGGCTCACAGGACTTCCACTGCTGGAGCTTATATCCCTCTTTAGAGAACTCCTGATATCATCTGCTTTGTGCACTCTCCGAGTCTGTAGCTCTTTGAAGGACCTTCGCATCCTTGTATTACTTCTTGCATGGCCCTCCCTCCAGTCCAACCATTTAGGAAGCCGAGTTTTCCTCTCTGCTGCGGGCTGGGAGGATAATGCACTGCCAGGCTTCTTTACAAACACCAAGATGGAGTCTGTAGCATTGGTCTGTATTGCTCGACACCTGGGAGGACTGTTGCAGTTCACTTGGATGCACATTTTGCCCATAAGCCAAAAAGCATCACAGTCAGGGCTCTGACAACAAGCCACTTGACAAGAATGGACAGAGTGAAATCCATCCAGCCGCTGGAGGTGGACTCCATCCAATGACCTCAAGTGCCCCCCCACCAGAGGCCTCCTGGGTTGGCATGCACTTCTGTTCCAGTTTGCATCTGAGCAAAGAGAAGTAAAACCATTAACAGTTTTTTAAAAAGCATCATTTTGTAATTCCAATAGAACAGAGACAAGCTAGATTATGGCTCCTAAGGCAGAAGGGGCCCTCCATCTCAGTGATAAATGTATGAACTAAATAGTGAGTGTGCTGCCCTTCAAGGGGATACCAAAATCTGCCACCCAAAGTGGGCCCTCATACCACAAAACCACGGGGGTGCAGCAGTTGAGTGTCAGCTTAGGATCTGGGAGACCCAGGTTCCAATCCCCACTGTGCCACAGAAGCTTGCTGGGTTGTAACAAACCAGTAACACCTTAGGTCAGTCACATGCACTATCAGCCTAACCATCCCCACACAGTTGTTGTGAGGATAAAATGGTGCACAATGTAAGACACTTTTGGCCCCTATTGTAGAGAAATAATGAAGTAAATAAATAGTACCTAATGGAAGGTCCAGCTCTGCAACAGAATCAGCTGGGTTCCACCCAGAAAATAAAGCCAGAAGAAGGAATCAGGAAGAGGTCATCCCACAGATCCTTGTCCAACTCTGAGACAGTAACTAATGCATATGCTACACCACCTTGTCCTACTTCAAAACTGGGTTGGTTGAAGAATGGCATGAAACCACTCTCCTGCCCTCTGCTGTAGTTTCAACAAGACTCCTGCACAGATCTATTTCATTCTCCCCTGGAGACCACAACAAGGGTGGCGTGTTGTCATTATTACAATAACTGCCAGGGAGGGCTATTTTATATCAGGCTTTTGGACCTTAACACTGGGGAGGAAACAACACCAATAGCAGTCAGCTGAGCAATTCTGTGCCAGCTCTCTTTCTTCCTGTGGAAATCATGCCAGTTCTACTCATGGGAGAGGCAGTTATGAATACTAGGGGAGGGGGGGAAAGCCACTGTTCATTTATTTTACAATGTGGCTTGCCAAGATGCCACATCACAAGAGGTTCAAGGAGAAATTTACCACACTGGGGCATCAATATTTCAAAAGATGAATATAGTGGCCTAAGAATCCTTGAAATGAGGTGAGCCCCCTCTTTCCTGTTGCAGACACAGCACCACCTCACTCCCCTCCTGTGCACTGGCCCTTGTTCTACTTTTACTAAGCAGTAATGATACTTCACCCTCCTCTGCTCTCAAGACACTTGAAGACTATGCTCCAAGAAATATTACACAGTTAAAATACTACTTC